GATTTTATTTATTTGACAGAGACACAGCGAGAGAGGGAACACAAACAGGGGGAGTGGGAGAGGGAGAAGCAGGCTTCCCGCCGAGCAGGGAGCCCGATGCAGGGCTCGATCCCAGGACCCTGGAATCATGACCTGAGCCAAAAGCAGACGCTTAACGACTGAGCCACCCAGGTGCCCTATTACACAAAAATTTTAAAGATGAAAATTTTCTACCCTTAATTATGCTAACAAATTAGGTAATGAAATAATCTACCATAATATCAGAATTCTGTAAGAATGTGTGATATATGGGTGTCCGTGAGTGCAGGGAAGAGAGAAAACAGAAAAAAAACACACCAAATTATTAACATTGCTTACTTTGAGGTAGCAGGATAGAGGGAATGTGGTGATTTTTACCTTGATCTCTGAGCTTTTCTGTATTTGTCAAAATTTCTAGACAGCACCCCACCTATGTATTACTGGTATAAGAAACAAACAGGTAGCTTCCCTTCTATCAGAATCAAGTCTAGCCTCCTTAGTCTGACATACTGTTTTTATCATCCCATCTTCTTCTTCCTGCTTTCCCTTTGTTTCTTTTTTCTTTTTTTTTTTTTTGACAGAGAGAGACACACAGAGAGAGGGAACACAAGCAGGGGGAGTGGGAGAGGGAGAAGCAGACTCCCCGTTGAGCAGGGAGCCTGACATGGGACTCGATCCCAGGACCCTGGGATCATGACATGAGCTGAAGGCAGACGCTTAACGACTGAGCCACCCAGGTGCCCCTTTCCCTTTGTTTCAACAGGCTTACACATACACCCTTTTGCTCATGTGCTTGTGTGTCCCAGGCTTGCCTTTTCCACCCCAGGAGCTCTGCATTCAGGGTTCCACGCAAGGCTTCCTTCCCTTCATGAACCAGCCTGTGTGACTGAGCCCTCCACTCAAATAGCAGCTCTCTGTCTACCAGACTCCATGGCAATTAATCTGACAAGTAATCAAGTACAGCTTGCAAATCTCTACCACTGTGGCCTTGAACTGTTACTTGATTTTCTTTTAACTTTTTGTATGTTTTTGTTCTTCTCTCCAACTAGATTATGAACTATTTTTTGTTATTTTCCATAAAGTCTAGTGCAACAGAGTAGGTGTCTGTGGTACACAAAATAATGGCCCCAAAGATGTCCATGTCCTAACCCCCAGAGCCTGTGAATATGTTAGGTTATAGGGCAAAGGGGAATTAAGACTGCAGATGGAGTTAAGGTTGCCAATCAGCTGACCTTCAAAGAGGGAGATTAGCCTGGATTACCCAGGTGGGCCTAATGTAATCACAAGGGGCCTTAAAAAGTGTAAGAGCTCAGAAGAGGTATGAGGACAGAAGTAAGGTTGGAGTGATGTGCTATAAGGACTCGACTCTCCATCGCTGGCTTTGAAGATGGAGGAAGAGGACACAGGCCAAGCAAGGGGGGCAGCCTCCCCAGGCTGGAAAAGGCAAGGACATGGATTCTCCCCTAGAGCCTCCAGAAAGGAATACAGTCCTGCCAACATCCTGGATTTCTGTTCAGTGAGATCCATGTCAGACTTTTAACCTACAGAACTGTAACATGAATTTGTGTGGTTTTAAGTCATTACGTTTATGGTAATTTGTTCTCGCAGTGATAGCAAATTAATACAGTGTTAAATACTATTTTCCTTCATTCGCATTTAAATCAAGAAAGATAAAACCAAAGTTATGAAAATAATGGACACATTTAAGACTATACTTTTTGAGGCAATCTATCCTAATCGCCCCCAAATGCCTCTCATTATTTCTTTATTTCTCCTTAGCGCTTATGTAATCAATTTACATCACTTATCATTTGTTGCTACTTATTTTATTACTGTGTTAATATCACTTCCTGGGCACACAGTTTTCCTCTCATTCAAAAGGCTCTTCAGAAGAGAGGCCATGTATTCATTCCCTAGGTATTTGCTGCCAGAGGTAAGAGACTTCAGTCTATAAATGCCTGATTACTAACATCTTACATTATGGATTACTTACGGGCGACCATGGACTCAGCCTTCTTCTCAGAAGTGTTTTTAAAAGTTTTATTTCAGCCTTATACAGATGCACCCTCAAGCCCCTAAAAAGA